CCAGCTCCAACATTTTACTAGTCTTTTTTCTTTCCCAACTTTCCCTCATTCCTAATGGAATGCTTTTTTTATAAATTGATTTGAGAGAGAGAGAGAGACAGACATCAATTGGTTGCCTCCCAAATGCACCCCAACTGGGGATCAAACTCACAACCTGGCTATGTGCCCTGACTGGGAATTGAACCTACCACCTTTTAGTGTACAGGACAACACTCCAACTGAGTCATACCAGCCTAGTCCCCAATAGAATACTTTTAATTGAAAATTTTAAATAGATATTGTAGATTTATGTAAATCTACAATATCTCTCTCTTCCCCTCCCTCCCTCCCTTCCACTCTCTCTAAAAATCAATGAAAAAAAATATCCTCGGGTAAGGATTAATAACAACAACAACGGATACTGAACAGTTTCCAACTCTAAAAGAATTCCTCGTGTTGCTCTGATATAATCACACACACCTCTTTACCCTCTCCTTTACCTCGATGTCCATAGCCCTAATCTCTGGCAGCACTCATCTGTCCTCTCCTCATATTTTGTCATTTCAAAATGTTATATAAATGGTATCGTACAGTATGAACCCTTTGGGGATTTGCTTTCTTCCCTTGAGAGTCATCCTGGTTGTTGCATGTATGTACTGTATCAATATTTTATTGCTGAGTAATATTTCATGGTTTGGATATATCATTGTGTTTAACTGTAAATTTGTTGAAGAGCATTTGGATTGTTTCCAGTTTGGAGCTATTATGAATAGAGATCATATGAACATTCATAGAAGGTTTTTGTGTGAACATAAGCTTTTATTTCTCTGGTGTAAATCTCCAAGTGTGCAATTACTGGGTCATATTGTAACTGCATGTTTAGTTGTATAAGGAATTGCCAAACTGTTGCTCAGAGTGGCTGTACCAGTTTACATGCCCACCAGCAATGTATGAATAATCCAGTTTCTACACATCCTTTCCAGCATTTGGTGTTACTGTTTTTCATTTTAGCCATTTTGGTAAGAGGGTAGTGATACCTCATGGTTTTAATAAAATCAGCCATGAGTAGTTAATGATGTTGAGCATATTTCCATGTGTAGTGTGCCATTGTAGATCTACTTCAGTGAAATGGCTTTCATGTCTTTTGTCCATTTTCTAATTGGATTGTTTTTTTTTTTGTTTTTTTTTTTACTGTTAAGCTTTGACAGTTCTTTATATATTCTATATTCTAGCCCTTTGTCAGATACATAGTTTGCATGCATGTTCGCCTCCAGTCTGTAGCTTGTCTTTTCATCCTATTCACATGGACTTTCAGAGATCAAAAGTTTGTAATTTTGATGAGGTCCAATTTAACAGTTTTTCCTCTTTTGTTACCAAGTCTAAGAACTCTTTGCCTACATCCTAAAAATTTTCTCCTGTTTTGTTTTGTTTTCCTAAAAGTTTATAGTTTTATATGTAAGTACATTCTGAATTAATTATGGTGTGAGGTTTAGGTCAAAATTTATATTTTCAGTGGCGTACTTTACTCCCATTTATTTTATATCCAGACAACATGATATTTCATCCATAAATATTTCATTACACATCTCTAAAAAATAAAGATGTTTCTTAAAAACATTATAATTACTAATGAAATTAACAAAATTCCTTAATGTTTTGTAATAGTCTACACTCTAATTTTTCTTATTGCTCACAAAACATATTTTTATAGTTATTTCACTTGAGTCTGAATCTAAAGTCCATGCCTTGCTCTTAGCTATTAGGTATCTGCTTTATTCTTGAACAGTATAGCCTCTTTTTTTCCTGCCCTTGAAATCTTGAAGAGACTGGGTTAACTGGGCAGAGTGTCCCACTTTCTGGATTTGTCCAATTGTTTCCTTGCCCTCATAGAATGTACCATAGAGAGACAGCCACAGTGAATAAATAAATAATAAATATACTGATTACATGAACATAATAGGTTGCTTATAAAATAATAGAGAAGGACTCCCTGAAATGAGATTTAAATTGAAACTGAAAATAAGAGAATTGTTCCAGGCAGAGGGAATATCACACGCGAATGCTCAGAAGAGGAAAACAGAATTATGTTTGAGAGAGCCTTGAAAGAAGGTAGCATGGCTGGTGATTGCTTAACAATAATGACATACTATTAAAGAGTATGCAGGGGCCAGATCATGCTCAGCTTTACAAGCAAGACTAAGGAGTTTGAAAACATTTTTCTAAGTACAGTAGAATGCCATAGAAGGATATCCAACTGCACAGTAGTAATCTGATCCTACTGATATTCTGACTCTACTTATTTTTTAATTGATTATTTTAGAGAGAGGAAGGGAGAGAGAGAAATATCTATGTGAAAGAGAAACATCAATCAGCCACCACCCAAAGGCACCTGGGATCAATCCTGAACCTGCAACCTGGATATGTATCCTAACAGAATCAAGACTCCCACCAACTAAGCCACACCAAACAGGGCTCTATTGATATTTTTAAATGCTCACCATATCTGCTTTGTGGAGGCTAGATGGGTGTGCAGTGGGGGGAGGGCAGAGGATGTGGAAAGGTGGCGAGCAGAAGTAGAAACTGGAAAACTTACTAGGTTACACAGGCAAGAAATTATGGTTGCTTGTACTAGAGTGGGGATAGGAAGAATAGATAGCTTTTGCAGGTCAAAAATGACAGAAACTTTGTAATTGATTAGAAGTGGATAGTGTGGGAGAGGAAGCTATAAAGAATGACAACTGGATTTTGACTTAAATAGTTGAATGGATGGTGATTCATTCATTTTCTGAGATGATTTTAGCTGCTGGTTTGTAATACTTTTAACAAGTTGTGAAATAGTCTTCTTCCTACTATTCTGGTGTTGCTTTAAAATTAGGTGTGGATATTGTATTTTATGAAATGCCTTTGAGCTTTTCTCATTGGCTTTTAATATTTACTATAGAATTGTTTTAGTTAGGACTATTTAAGTTGCAAACATCAGAAATTCAACTCACAATAACTTAAGCAATAAAGTGAATCTATTGAATCAAATACCCAAAAGGAGCAGGGCTAAACCTTGCTTTAGGCGCAACTATATGGCTACTAGGGTCTTAAATGATATCAGGAGAACTGGTGCGTGTGTCTTTGTGTGTCTCTTTCTCTTCCCCTCTTCCTCTTTATATCTTGCTTTCTCTCCCTATTACTTTCACTCTCAGACATGACCTTCCTGTGTTGATTCCCTAGGCTCTAGGCTCCCAGCTAGAAAGAAAGAATTATCCTCTTTTCCACTTCGAGTAACACTGGGCTAGACTGGATTACATTGTAGCCCCACCTAAAGACTCAGTATTTCTCCAAGAACAATTGAAGTGTTGTAATTAGGTAAAAAATAACAGATCTCTATTACCCACTCTAACATTTATATTCAAGTATTTACTTTTATTGATGTTTCTAAAAGTCCTCGAATGAATCATACTTGTTTGTGGTATGTTATTATTTTTGTGTAACTCTGGATTGTATTTGTAAATATTTTGTTTTGAATTTTTAGCTTCAGCTTTTCCTAAGTGAAAATCATAGGTATTTTTCTTTACTTAGAAAATGTTATGTTTTCCAGATTTTAACATTCTTTTTTTTTATTTATTTTTTTCATTTTTATCCTCACCCGAGGACATTTTTCCATCTTTTGCACAGATAGAGTAGGAGGGAGAGAGAGGAAGAGAGAGAAACATCGACGTGAAAGGGACACATCGAGTGGCTGCCACCCGCACGACCAACCAGGGCCGGGGACAAACTGCAACCGAGGTACATGCCCTTAGCGGGAATTGAACCCGGGTCTCTCCGGACTGCAGGCCAATGCTCTAACCGCTGAGCCAAACCGGCCAGGGCGATTTTAACATTCTTACATAGCTTTTCTAAAAAGAGTTAGGAATATTTCCATGTTGATCTGTACCATAAAATAATTTAAATAGCAGGGGAATTACCCATAACAGAAGATTAAAAAGAATTCCTTCATGAACCTTCTTGGTCTGACATCTTCTTTTTATAGATATGTTTTTCTTGATTTTTAGAGAGAGAGGAAGGGAGAAGGGGGGAGAGAGAGGGAGAGAGAGAGAGAGAGAGAGAGAGAGAGACCGAGACCGAGACCGAGACCAGATTGGTTATCTCCTGCACCCTTACCCCAGACCTTGGATCTAACCTGAAATTTGGGCATATGACCTGAACTGACCTGAATCCAATCAGGGACCTTTTGGTACAAATACAAATATGGAAATAATAGTTTACCATTGTAATACAGAAATAAAATTCTCAGATTATTCTTGAACCCCTAAGAATATGGCCATATTTCCCCAGAAGTCCCTGTTTGAGAACTACTACCCTTGCACATTATTCTTTAGACTTTTTTCCACTTCCCTTCCCAAGGGAAGGGGTGGAGGGAGGAGCAGTAGTGATTCTTCTTGTTATATATTCCTGTTTGAATTGAGGCTTTTTTTAAATCAGTGATCCAGGGTGCCAGCATTTGGTCTTTTTCTTGGCTGCTTATGACCTCCACTCCCTATACCTTCAAATTGTGAGATACATGGAAGAGATTTCAGAATGTATCTATTTAACATCAGTACTGGTACTGCCTGCCCTTTCTATAAGGAATCCACATGGATTCCCAGCATCTTTCATTTTGGTTAAAATTGTCCTATATTTAGACAGCTAATCTTCAGTGTATTGTATGAGACTAAGACACTTATAGTTTTAGCATTTGTGGTATATTCTTCCAGTTTCTACCGATATGTCTTCTTTGCTTTGAGTTTGAGTAATGGACTTCTAGTAAGCCAGGATCTATGTAGCTATTTTCTTAGAAGTATACTTTTCAGTTTTTTGTTTTTTTTTTTTTGTTTTTTTTTAATGGGCCATGATCAGAAGGACTTGGGCCCCCAGCTTTTCAGTTTTTTTAATGTTTAAGGAAAAGCATTGTCCTATAAGTCATGTGTTAGAATAACTTGGTTTAATGTTAAAACTGACAACTAATTCTATTTTTTAAAATGACTTGACAGGTTGGAATTCGTGGTACCAGTATAGTTGTACTTGGGGTAGAAAAGAAGTCTGTTGCCAAACTTCAAGATGAAAGAACTGTGAGGAAAATTTGTGCCCTTGATGACCATGTCTGCATGGCTTTTGCAGGTACTTATGCACCTAAAATAATGATACAGAGTACCTTGTATAGTAGTGTAACACATTTGGTCCCACTACAGTTGTTGTAGTGCTATATTTATGCAACATATGGAGTTATATTCCATTTCTTATTAAACACAAACAATATACCCTATCATTTCTGTAAGATCACAACTCTGTAAACTAGGATTTCTGATCATTCACTTTGATAAAACATAAATGTCAGAAAGTACATTACACTGTCTTAATTGTAATTTTAGGTAGCTGTTTTCTTTTTAATTGTTTTTATTTCAAATTAGTTTTAGATCAAGACATTACAAAAAAAAACCACAAAGTAGTCCCCTTTATCCTTTACCCAGTTTACCCGAATGGTAGCATTTTCAAGCACTAGTTATTTGATATTGTTATAAGCCACAGATTTTTTCAGATTTCACCAGTTTTACATTAACTTATTTCATGTATATGTAGTTTCATTAGACTCATCACATGTGTAGATTCACATAGCCATCACCACAATCAAGGTACACAACTCTTACATTACCACAAGGCTACCCATGCTATTCCTCCCCCGTATTTCTAACCTCTGGCAACCAATAAACTATACTTTTCTCCATTCTTATAATTTTTTCATTTTTGAGAATGCTATATGAATAGAGTCTTGTGATATATAACCTTTTAATATTGGCTTTTTTTCATTCAGCATAATTCCCTTGCATTTCATCCAAATTGTTGGATATATCAATAGTCTGTTGTTTTTTATTGCTGAATAGTATGGCTGTACCACACTTTTTTAACAATATGAAGGACATATTTTCAATTTTTGCCTGCTACAAATAAAGTTGGTGCAGACGTTCATGTACAGGTTTTTGAGTGAACATAGGTTTTCATTGTTCTGGGATAGATGCTCAAGGGTACAATTGCAGGATCATATGATAATACATGCTTTGTTATAGAAAAAAACTGCCATATTGTTTCCCAGAGTGGCTGTACTATTTTACATTCCCTCTAGCAGTGTATAAATGATTCATTTTTCTCTGCATCCTCAGCAGCATTTGGTGTTGTTACTATTTTTTATTTTAGACATTTATATAGGTGTATAGTGATATCTCATTGTGGGTTTAATTTGCGTTGGCCTCATGGCTAATGATATTGAACATATTTTCATGTGTTTATTTGCATCTGTATAGCAAACAAGACATGTTACTTGTGTTGCTTTTTTTTTGCTCATTTTCTAATTGTGTTTTTTCAAGTCATAATTTTATATTGAAGTTTAAAAACCTTATTAGCAAAAATTTTTTTTAAACCTTACTGAGCAAAAAATAATCTTAATTTTACTGTCTTAAAAAAGAAATTATCTTGTCCCAGTCAGGTGGCTCAGTTGGGTAGAGAGTTGTCCCATATACCAAAAGAGGTTGTGGGTTCTATTTCCAGTCAGGACACATACTAGGTTGTGGGTTCCATCCCTGATCTGGGTGGGTACAGGAAGCAACTGATTAACTGTTTCTCTCTCACATCAGTGTTTCCCTCTCTCTCACTCTCTCAAAATCAATAAACATATCCTCAGGTGAGGATTTTTTAAAAAAAGAAAAGAAATTATCTTGCCACAAAGTAAGACTTAAAAAAGTGTTAAAGATTGAAATCATATGAAGTGTCATTTCTGTCAAAAGGAAATTAAACTAGAAGGAAAACTGAAAAATCCACAAATACATGGAAATTAAATAACACCTTAAGAACCCATGGGTTAAAGAAAAAAATCACAAGAGAAATGAGAAAATATCTTGAGACTACTGAAAATGAAAACATAACGTATAGGATATAGCCAAAGCAGTGTTAAGAGGAAAATTTATAGCTATGAATCCTTACATTAAAAAAGAAGACTTTATCCCTGGCTCGTTTGGCTCAGCAGTTAGAACATCAACCCACAGGCAATGAGTAGCAGGTTTGATTCTGGTCAAAGGCAGGTACCTTGGTTGCGGTTCGTTCCTGGCCCTGGTTGGAGTTGATGTGTCTCTCTTGCATTGATCTCTCTCTCTCTCTCTCTCTCTCTCTCTCTCTCTCTCTCTCTCTCTCTGTTTGTCTCTGTCCCTCCCTTTCTCCCACTCTATCTGAAGATAAATAGAAAGAAAAAAAATATCCTCTGGTAAGGATTAAAAAAAAGAAGAACCAACTTTACATCTTGAGAACTAAAAAGAGAATAACAAATTTAACACAAAGGTAGCAGAAGGAAGGAGATCATACAGATTAGAGATATAGAACATGGAAAAACAATAGAGAAAAATTAAGAAACACAAGAGTTGGTTCTTTGAAAAGATTAACAAATTTGACAAACCTTTAGTCAGGTGGACTAAGAATAGAAGGACTCAACTAAAATCAGAAATTAAAAAAAAGGATGTTACTAATTATTTCACAGAAATAAGAAGGATTTGAAGAGAATGTTATGAACAATCATATACCAACAAGTGGGATAACCTAGAAGAAATGGACAAATTCCCTGAAACACAAATTATTTAAAGTTGCTCGAGAAGTAGAAAATTTCAACAGATGTATAATAAGTAAAGAGTAAAGTAGTAATCAAAAACTCCTCAGTAAGGCCTGGCTGATGTGGCTTAGTTGGTTGGAGTGCCTTTTTGTACACCAGAAGGTGGTGGGTTCAATTTCTCCTCAGGGCACATATCTAGGTTGCAGGTTTGATCCCCAGTAGAGGCACATGCGGAAGACAGCTGATCAATATTTCTCACATTGATGTTTCTCTCTCTCTCAAATCAATAAAAGATGAGGATTAACAAATAAATAAATAACAAAAACCTATCAATAGGAAAGGTCCAGGACCAGATGTTTTCACTGGTGAATCCTACCAAACATTTAAAGAAGAATTAATACCAATTCTTCCCAAACTCTTCCAAAAAATTGGACAGGAAGGAACACTTCCAAATTCATTCTATGAGGCCAGCATTATTACCCTGATACTAAAACCAGACAAAGACACTACAAGACAAGAAAACTATAGCCCAATATCCCTTATAAATATTGATGTAAAAATCCTCCACAAAATACTAGCAAACCAAATTCAGCACCTATTAAAGGAATTATACTCTATGACTAATGGTACTTATTCCTGGAGTGCAAGGATAATTTAACATATGAAAATCAATCAATGTTATATACCACATTAACAGAATGAAGGGGAAATCCACATGATCATCTCAATTTATGTAGAAAAAATCTTTACAAAATTCAGCACCTCTCATAATAAAAACATGCAATACAAGAAAGTTACCTGAATATAATAAAGGCCATATAAGAAGAACCCACAGTGAACATCATACTCAATGATGAAAGACTGAAAGCTTTTACTCTAAGATCAGGAATAAGTCAAGTATGTCCACTCTGAAGACATTGTACTAAGTGAAATAAGCACTCACAATAGGACAATTACTATATGATTCCAATTATATGAGATACCTGGAGTCATCAGATTCACAGAAACAGAAAATAGAATGGTGGTTGCCAAGGGAGGTTGGGGCAGGATGAATAGGAAGTTATTGTTGAATGTGTTCAGAGTTTCAGTTTGGGAAGTTAAAGTTCTAGAGGTTGTTGCTCAGCAGTGTAAAGGTACTTAATTCCACTGACCTGTACACTTAAAAATTATTAAAATGGTAAATTTTATTTTATATGTACATATATGTATATACATATACATATATGTGTGTATGTGTATATATATACATATATATGTGTGTATGTATATAAAATATATATATATATATATATATATATATATATATATATATACTATAAAAAAAGAAAGTTTCTAAAGGAACCATAATATAAAAGAAGGAATGCTATAATTTCTGGTATACATACCTTTCTGACCTTATTATACAAATAAGTTTAATATGTATTTAACTTTTAAGCAGAGTAAAATAAGCATTAACTAATATATTCCTTACATGTCAATTGATTTTTGAAATTGGAAAATACCGAAATGCTTATTATTAGAAAATTAGTATAATAAATCATGGTATATCTATGCAGTTGCTTAAAAATACAGCTTCTAGAATCATGCCAACTGGGTTCTAAGCTGAACTCCATTGTCCACTATGCCTGTGCTTTTGTAAGGTATTTAACTGTTCCTAGCTCCATACTCATCTGTAACTCAAGGTTAATGATAGTATCTACCTTATTGATTTGTTGCAAGGATTAAGTGAGTTAATACATAAGAAGCATTTAGAAGGATGTCTGACATATTTGAGTGTTTAACAAATATTACTATTACTACTACATTATTATAATTGTTACTATTAGTATTATTTAGTGGTAGTTAAAAAAAAAAGAGGTGGTAGGATCTGTATGTATTGAGATGAGAAAGTATCCATAATATATATTAAAAATAGTAGATTACAAAAGAATGTATATGATACAGTTCTATTTATAAATTGTGAAATTATAGGATACATCTTATTCCCTCTGTTGGAATAGTTTACAGTGAACACTTTCAGAAAGAAATACAGTTCCATTTTGAAAAAAATATCATTCTTTTTTTTCTTTAATTAAAAAAATTTTTTTTCTTAATTGATGTTAGAGAGAGAGAGGAAGGATGAAAGAGAGAGAGAAACACTGATGAGAGAGAACATTGATTGGCCGCCTCCTGCATGCTTCCCACTAGGGATCAGGCCCACAACCTGGGCATGTGCCCTGACCAGGAATTGAACCAGCAACCTCTTGGTGCATGGGTCAACGCTCAACCACTGAGCCACACCAACTGGCCAAAAATCACATTCTTTTGTCTTTTTTTATTGTGCTTTTAATGTTTGGAAAACAGGCCTTGGGGAAAATAAAAGAATTTGGAAAAAAAATTATTTCATGCAGCATGTGGAATTCCGTTCAGTAATAGAAATTTTACATTATGATAGTATCTTCAAGGTAAAGTTGTGGCATAAATTTAAAAGAACTAGACTGAGGGCCCAGCCAGTATGGATGTTTCTCTTTCTCTCTCTTCCTCTCTCTCCCTCCCACTCTATCTGAACAAAAATGTCCTTGGATGAGGATAAACAAAGAAATGGATGCTTCAAAGACTTTATGAATGAATTATTGGGCAGTGTGTTTTTTTAATATGTTTTCTTTGATTTTTTTAGAGATTGAAACAATGTGAGAGAGAAATATTGAGCTGCTGTTAACTGCACACCCCTTACTGGGGATAAAGCCCACAACCCGGGCATGTGGCCTAACCGGGAATTGAACCGGTACCTGCCACCAGATGTGGATTCATCCACTGATCCACACTGGCCAGGTGGCAATGTGATTTTAAGAGAGTGGTGGAAAGAAACAAAATTGTCATGGAGAGGTCAAATGCCAAAAAAGTCTTTAATATAATGGAAATATTTGCAACCATTGCATCTCTTTAATATTTTGGTCAGTTTTTTTTTTTTAATAGAACATTTTATTTCTTTATAGAAGTGTTTGGAATTAATTACATAATGTTTTGATATGACAAAAGTAAGACAATGTGTTTTCTTTTTCTGTTTTAACATTTTTGATTTTTAAATCCTTTATCTTAGATAAAAAGCTGAAAAGTATTTCCAAGTTATATTGAATAAAGTTTTAATTCAGTGGATGTATGTTTGATAATGAAGTGCAATATTCATTTTCATAAGAAGAAATCCAGCTTCATGGTTTAGGTAATAAGTATATTGGTTTTGGAACCAAGATAGACCATCAACCTTTGAACAGTTTGCCATTGATATCTTCCCAAAAATGTTTTAAAAAATATGACTACAGAGATTTTTAAAAAATATTTATTGATTTTTTTGAGAGAGAGAGAGAGAGAAACATAAATGTGAGAGAGAAACATCCATGGGCTGCCTCCTGCACACACCACACTGAGGATCAAACCCACAACCTAGGCATGTGCCCTAATAAAAAATATATTTAATAAACCCTAACAACCAGCCCAATTGTTGTGAATGAAACCATTTTAACCTTTGGGAAATGGTTTACTTAACATTGGTGTTTAACCATTGTTCTTTAAAGTCATTTTCTTTAAAAAGTAAATAGTACATCAGCTCTGGCCTGTTGGGCTCAGCGGTTAGAGCATCAGCCTGCGGTCCAGAGAGACCCAGGTTCAGTTCCCACTACGGGCACGTACCTTGGTTGCAGTTTGTCCCCGGCCCTGGTTGGGTCGTGCAGGTGGCAACCAGTTGATGTGTCCCTTTCACATCGATGTTTCTCTCTTTCTCTCCCTCCCACTCTATCTGAGCAAAAAATGGAAAATGTCCTTGAGTGAGGATAAAAAAAATAATAATAAAAAAGTAAATAATACATCAAACTAAGTCCTGAAGGAAATAAATCAGAATGTTGGATGAGTGATTCACAAAGAATTTTACAAAAATCTTTATAATGAACATATATTAAGAAAAAAACATTTTAAGAAAGATTTTATGGTAGCTAAAACCCTTTTGACAATGAAAAAAGTCATTCATTTGTGTAACATATCAACTACTTTTATAGGACTGACTGCTGATGCTAGAGTAGTAATAAACAGAGCCCGTGTGGAGTGCCAAAGTCATAAACTTACAGTTGAGGACCCAGTCACTGTAGAATACATAACTCGCTTCATAGCATCCTTAAAACAGGTAAGCCAATATAGCAGAAACTTGCTTCCAGTTTTCTCCTTTATCATTATGAGTCTAATCGTGAAACTTCAAATTATTTATTCTTTCTCACACTTTATACTCACACTGTTAACTCCAGTGGAATGAATTTATTTGATTACTAGGAATCTCAGTCAGTATCAGTTCTGGGAATTATATTAAAATTAAAAAGAGCAAGAAATCGAATCTTTTAAAGGGATTACTTCACTTCTGGAGATAGAGTAATGAGAATCATATTTTTAGAGTTTACCAAAGCAATACCCATGATTCTTTCACCTACAAACCTAAACACCACTGATGAGGTTCAGGTATGACTTCTGAATCCATGAGTAGGTACATTAATACTAAGTATAATCATGATATATACAAGTATTTTTTCACTTATTTTATGTGTTTTTATATATGTAAACATTGTCTTTATATAACTATATATAGGCAGACCTCCTTTTATTGTGCTTTGCTTTATTGCACTTCACAGATGTTGTACTTAATATAAATTGTAAGTAAGACCCTCTACCAGCAAAAAGATTAAGACTTGCTTTATTTTGATTCTCTCTTTATTGTGGTGGTCTAGATATCTCAGAGGTACGCCTGTAATACTGTTTTTAGTTGCTATCAGTAATTATTTAGGTTGTTTCTAGTTCCATTTTTTCATTCCTTCTCTTACTTGCTGGCTCTCAAATTGCTACTTTGATAACATTATCTTTGAAACCACTTTTATTTTATTTTTTTGAATTATATTGTTAAATTAATTTTCAGTATGGGATTGCTAGATTAAAGATTATAATTGGTTTTAAGACTCTTGTTATATATAGCTAAATTACTTTCTAAAAAATTGAACCAATTTTTATTGTTCAACAAACAATGCACAAATATATCCCTGAAGGAACTTCAGCATTGTTTTTTCATTTTTCTTTTATTTTGCAAATAAGTATAACATAGTGCTTTGGGAAAACTAGCCTGTTTTGCCTCTATATTCTTACTTATAAAATGAGCACTATAGGAATACCTACTCTGTTGAATTGGATTAAATGGTTTAATACATTTAAAACATTTAGAACACTTTCCGGGATGGATTTTACAATTTGTCCACATAGAGATTTTTTTATAGACCATATTTTCTATATATTAAAATTTTTAATTACATACTTATTTTAAAATTGCCCTATTTTTTAAATTTAATTTATGTTGCAGGAAAGTCAAACATTTTTATATTATTCTGCTTTTTTATCTGCTTTGATTTTCTCAGCAGTTATAAAGGTATCCACCAAAAAACAAGGTGTAGAACATTGTATATACAAGATTCCCAATTGTAAATTTTAGTTCTTTTTTTTTCTTTTTTTTTTCTAGAAATATAAAGGTTGTACATAGAACATTTGTAGAAACATACATTTTAAGTCTGTAACAGTGAAGTTGCCACTGAGGATGGTCCAGGGCTCTGGAACAAAAAAGAGAGATGCTTTAGATACACCTTCGATACTTTTAAATTATGTTAACCATGCACATGTGTTACTTTTTTATTTTAAAAAATGATTAAGCAAATAAAGTAAAAGGGTCTGTCCTCTAAGGTATATTTACGAAGCATCTTCTTCATACTTCAGTGTGATCTAGGAACATTAGGAGATCAGAGAAATTAAGACATAAACCCTATTTTAAGAGTTCATTTATGTTTATGTAGCCAGTTATTTGCATCCACAATTTGAACTGACTTATTAAAATACATATATAATAAAATGTAAAAAATTTAAAAATAGATATAGTACATAAAGTCCAGGAAGAAAGCTTATATATAACTATTTCGAGCCACAAAGTTATTTACAATTCCGAAAGCTGCTTAAAATTGTCATCTTGAGCTTTCTGTCTGCCTCTTTGCACAACTTGTAAGGGGACCAGTCTCAGAATTAGTGTGAATTCCACTCCCTGGAGCAGAAATCCAGGAGGTTCCTGCCACTAAAGTAAAAAATACAATTGGTTTCCAGTGCACTGTTGTCTGTGAGGAAAAAGCATGCTTTTTCTTCAAAGAAACAAAGATTCCCTTGTTTTGGAACTGGAAGAAATGTCTTAGTTGTGTTTTATATAGAGATAACTTAGTATATAGTAGACAGAATATAGTATCAAGTGAGTATACTTGGTAATAATAACAATTTGGTGTCTCCCAAAGTAAACCAAGGAGTGATTCCAAAGCACGGTTCACTAAAATCAGTGTTACTGGAAACAAAAATGTGAAATATACAGTTCTCTGCTGTATTAAAAAGATTGCAATCTTGTTATATACAAAATGTGCGTAAATCAACAAGGAAACAATTTAAGAACATATATATGTAAACTTGGGATATTATTTTATAGACTATGTACATTTTTTAAAAATTTCATCATGGATTTGAGGTTAGCCCAGAAAGTCAGGGAAGAGGATTTTAAAGATATACAGAATGGGAATCAATAAAGATCATTTTGACAAGAATGCTTTACTATTAGAATTTGACACTTGATAAGTAATAGTATGGCTTTTGCATGGTCTATACAGAAAGTAGTTATGGAAACATTTTATTTTTCAGAAATACACTCAGAGCAATGGACGAAGACCTTTTGGTATTTCTGCCTTAATTGTAGGTTTTGATGATGATGGTATCCCAAGATTATATCAGACCGATCCCTCTGGTACTTACCATGCTTGGAAGGTGAATCTTGAATTCTTTTAATATATTAAAAGAAGTTGAATAAATGTATTCACTGCAAATGCTTTATCGCTTTTAAAAATTATGTTACATTAAAGTATTGATGGTGGTGGAAACTTTATGTAACCATTTAGCTAGTCAACAATTACGATGGTTTATGATGGGTAGAGAAATACTTTGGCTTATTAATCACAGAGTCTTTTCTTTATGTTTGAAAATATGTGACAAACCTAAGTGTATACGAATGTCCAAGTGAGAAATATCCAGTTCCTATTCCTCATTCATTCTTCCAAATTAGTACTGCATCACACGGGTGCTTGCTTTGAATAGAAGTATATAATCTTTTTGCTTTTAATAAAGAATTAAATGAGCTTATGAACTCCATACTGAAATCTTTAATGCATCCTCTTCTAGGGGAGTCAGAACACCCCAAACTATGAATCTATTCTTTTTGTTTCTTTTATTGATTTTGGAGACAGAGGAAGTGAGAAGGAGAGAGAGATAGAAACATTGATGAGAACATCGATTGGCCACCTCCTGCATTCTCCTCCATATCCACTGGGGATTTGACCCACAACCTGGTTATGTGTCCTGACCAGGAATCAAACCAGCGATCTCTTGGTGCATGAGTCAATGTTCGACCACTGAGCCACACCAGCCAGACTGAATTTATTATTATATGTCAGTGCATTGCAATTATCTTCACATAATTCCTGAGATATAGTTTGTTTCTTGGATAAGTTGTTATTCTTGTTTTATTACCCAACTACTAACTTTGTTTTATGGTGCACTTAAATTTAATGGTGCACAAAAATCTAGGACCTAGCAAAACTAGTGGCAGTTTTCAGAAGTGAATTTTTGTATATTCTTGTATATAAGAATAAGACTACACCATAGAATCTAATTTAAGTGATTTTGACTTTATTAAAAGAGTAAATTCTTAGGCTTTAAAACAATTTTATGAAGAGTTTATTTTACTATTATTAACTTTCAGATAAATTAATTGGGAAATATTGCCTTGATTTTTAAGCCTGTATTAACTAAAGTATTTGATTTGAGCTGACCATACACATACTATTTTATAAACCAATTAACAAATCCAGTAAAACAGTGGATTATATTCTTACCACAAAGATCTGAATACTTGTTAGCTGCCCACCTTCTTTTAAGCTACCAGCATAATCGAATTGGAATCAGAAACTACGAATTTACCTGTTGCAAATACCAGACTTTTTTTCTGCCAGTTAGAAATCGTTTGCATGAACTAGGTTTTTTGTGCCTCCAAATCTGTGCCCTGAACAAAACAAATTATTAGATTGAGTCTCTCTAAATATTTTGAAGTCTGCTATCTTCTGTTTGCTCTTATCTTTACATCATTACCCTCATTTCAATTTCGTAACACAACAATTTCCAAGTTTATGTATGTTTCCATTTTAATTTGGTTGATCCCTGAGGTCACACAGAGAAGCATTTCTTTTTTTTTTTTTTCTTTTTTTTTTTATCCTCACCCGAGGACATTTTTCTATTTTTTTGTTCAGATAGAGTGGGAGGGAAAGAGAGAGAGAGAGAAAGAGAGAGATAGACATCGACGTGAAAGGGACAAATTGAGTGGCTGCCACCCACATAACCCAACCAGGGCTGGGGACAAACTGCAACCGAGGTACATGCCCCTAGCGGGAACCGAACCCGGGTCTCTCTGGACCGCAGGCCGACGCTCCAACCGCTGAGCCAAACCGGCCAGGGCCAGAGAAGCATTTCTTATTTCAAAGTCAATTAGTGTGAGGAAAATTATGGAATTTAGAAATTGTTCGGGATTTCATTTATCATCTAGGTCTGAATCTACGCTCTGTTATAGTGTTTTAAGGCCATATGGTGGATGTGGGGAAGTTGTGAACAGTGTGTGCATGTGTGTACATGTATACCCCATTATCATTATCTTACTAATTTTACATTCTGCACTTTCTTGTAAGATTTTGGGTTGAAGGGGGTATTATATAAGGCTTTGAAAAATCATCTATAACAAAAAACATTTAGGCCCTGGCTGGTGTGGCTCAGTGGCTGAGCATCATCCCATGCACCAAGAGGTTGCCAGTTCAGTTCCTGGTCAGGACACATGCCCAGATTGCAGGCTGAAGTCCCAGTAGGGGGCATGCAGGAGGCAGCCAATCCTTAGGTGGGGGCATGTAGGAGGCAGCTGATCTGTTTCTTTCGCACATCAATGTTTCTCTCTTTCCCTCTTCCTTCCTCGTCAAAATCATTAAGAACATATATTTAAAAAAAACATTTAGCAACTTTTATTTTACATGTTTGGTGAGACTCCAGGGTTAAGTGATTTTTTTTCTAAGTGCATACCACTAGCTAATAGCAAAACTGAAATTAGAATTCAGGGTCTTCTGCCATGGCCTGTGTGGCCTAGTTGGTTGAGTGTCATCTCATGCATCAAGAGGCACTGCCAGTTCGATCCCTGGTCAGGGAACATGCCCTGGTTGCCAACTCAATCCCTAGTATGGGGAATGCAGGAGACAGCTGATCTATGTTTCTCACTCTCTCACTCTCCCTCTAAAATCATTAAAAACATAATTTTTGTAAGTAAAAAAAAGGAACTCATAGTCTTTTGCTTATTAGTTCAGTGTTTTTTCCTCTACATGATGCTACCTCCCTTAAGCCAAATGGTTCCCTGTAAGTATTATGTAAGTTCTGGTATCCAGTCTTGAAAGATAGAGTAAAATCTGGATTTATTTCTGTTTTGGGGAGACTATAGCACTTTAGCCATAAGATCAAGTATTTCTTTGGGGAGGGGGGTGTTTTCTTGTTTTGCTCTTTTTTACCTTGACTTACTATGCCAAGTAGTCTGATAAAATGGTACAGTGGAGCCCTGGCCGGTTTGGCTCAGCGGTTAGAGCGGTGGCCTGCGGTCCAGAGACACCTGGGTTCGGTTCCCGCTAAGGGCACATACCTCAGTTGCAGTTTGTCCTTGGCCCTGGTTGGGTCGTGTGGGTGGCAACCACTCGATGTGTCCCTTTCATGTTGATGTTTCTCTCTCTCTTCCTCCCACTCTATTTGAACAAAAACTGGAAATATGTCCTCGGGTGAGGATAGAAAAAAAAAAGGTACAGTAGATATTAAGGAACCAGCTATGGTACCATGTGTTGATAATATTTTGCAGTGCTAGGTTATAGTCTTTCAAGGTATGGCTAGAGGGCATGTGAAATGGAGAGTACGAATAAGAAATTAAAAATATAACCTGTGGCCACATGTTCTGCTGCAGAAACAATAATAGAAACAGCTGATACCAGCACTTTGATTTGTTGGAGTTCTTTATCCACCATGTGACATAAACTTTTTTGTTTTTATTTTTGAAGATTCTGGTCCATTAGTGATCCTGCCTTAATGGATTATAGTCTTCCATTAACTTTTTTACTTCACATAGAAATACTATAAGAGATCTCTAGAAAATCCCTTGAGTTCTTGACATCTCCCTGGTCCCATTCTATAATATTAACTTTATGTCCCTTGATAATCAGAATAAATTATACCATTCTTACAGCAACCCCTTCTTTGCCTACTAATTCAAGGGAATGAGGAGTTCAAAATGGCCAAGTGGCAGTCTCAGCTTCTAGTTCAGTGAAATTATTGTTCTGTCCCGGTAGAACATTGCCTCTTCTCCCTCCCCCACCTTGGAAACTATGACCTTTAATACAACCTAGTGGTGACAAAGAGCAAAAAGTTTTACTAGTGGGTCATTGGGGGTAATAATGAAACATCTATCCCTTGATTTTTAGGTTTGTAGCTATGGCAGAAATTAGTTACTGCTGCTTGTTTAAGGACACACACAGGATCATATAGAACAGAAATCTAGCTCCATAAGATGTCAACTAGCGGGTGCTATAATTGAGTCTTCAGTAGGCTATTCCATATATCTGTCAGGCTGGCTACTTCGCAGTGATAAAAAACATGATAAGACCAGTGAATCCTCTGGGCATAAGCCTTCTCTCACTTCCTCACAATCAGTTCCTTGGTCACCAGAAATGTTTTGTAGGATGTCATCATGGTGAAGAAAGCATTCAGCAAGTCCACAGATAGTGGCTGACAGAAACATTTGGTATAAGGAAGGTAAACTCACATCCCGAGTAAGTCTCTTCCAGTGAAGACATACTGCTGCCCCTTCCATGACAGAAGAGTCCAGCGAAGTCAGTCAGCTTGGCAGTCACCATGTAGTTCTGGTAGTATCTAGATCAATTGTGGTGGGAGGGACATCCTTTCTGAGATATTTTTTCCTCCTTTATACATTTTCACATTGCAGAAAATATTTTTTACTTGGAGTAATAGGTTCTGGGGTATGGCACATTACATTAACTAAAAATTCTTCTGCTTACAAACACCTAGATTGCTAGAATTAATATTTTTCCTTTAGCATTATTTTGTTAAATCATAAATGTACAATAGCTTCATAACTCTACACATGCACTTAAATTTTTTAAAAGGATAAACAGCCCTGGCCAGTTTGGCTCAGCAGTTATCCCAAGAGGTTTCAGGTCTGATTCCCAGTCAAGGGCACGTACCTAAGTCGCAGGTTCAATCCTTGGCCCCAGTGGGGTTTGGGAAGGAGGCAACCAATTGATGTATCTCTCTCACATCAATGTTTCTCTCTCCCCCCCCTCTCTCTCACATGCGGGCGTGCCTTTCCCCCCTCCCTTCTACTCTAAAAATCAATGTAATATATCCTCCAGTGAGGATTAATACACACACACACAAAGGAAAAACATTGTATCTTATTACACCATGATCCTGGCTAATAGGTTTTTTAAACTTTGAGAAAAATCTTTACAAAGGCTTTACATGTCACCTAATAATTAAAAAGCTAAGAAACTATCTCAAAGACATTTTTTTAAAGCAATCTTTCCTCCACAATAAGTTAATGTTATTAAATAATCCAATCCATTCACAAAATGACTCTCTGCATCTGCTCTGGTGTCTTCTGCTGTATCACTGCCTTCTTATGC